CTCACGAACGACACAGGCTATTTAACAGGCAGCAGTTTCTTTTCCAGGAAGAGGGACAAAAAGTTAAAAATGACTCAGTGCCTCTCGGTCCCCATTGAGTTGGTTGTGACCTGTCAACCCAGCTTTGGGGAAGTGCCCGCTCCCCCTGGGCTCTCTAAGATGCCCCAGGGCCCCATCTGCCCCACCACCCTTGGCTGCTGGACTCCAGGACACTATCCTGGGTCTCAAACATCCTCTGTTCCTACGCCCGCCCCACTACTCTACATTTTGTTCTTCAAGTGTGGGCTCCTGTGGCTCGCCACACAGCAGGGGTCTCCCTGTCCTCCACCTAGGGTAACTGCATTGTCCTGCACGGTGCCTAGCAAAACCATGTGGAGGCAGGAAGAATACAGAACAACAGGTGCTCAGAGGGGCTGCCTTTCCCACTGCAGGGGCCCTAGAGAGCTTTCTTCCGGCTGGTTATTCACAGGCGCTGAAGCTGTAGAATCTCGATCTCACCAATTTAAAGGACATCATCACTAATTACAAAAGCAATCATTTCTTCAGTAGCAAAAGAAAAGACTTTGTGTTCCCCACCTCCAACATTTTTCCCCCACCTTCAGATGTTTCTCATCTCTGGGCTAGGGTAGAAAGAAACTCACAGAATATTATTTTTCAATGTTCTTTCCCACTCTGAAGATTGCTTTCCCAGAACCGATGAAGGCTAGAATGGTTTAGCTTTCCTGGACTGAGTATTCAGAGGCCTAGGGGGGGAGGAGGGAGGTGAGATAACTCAGCAATATTGAACCTAACAGAGACATTAAAAGGTTCTATTCTAAACAGAATGGAAGCAGGATGCTATAGAAACAGGAAAACCATAGTTGGAAATGCAATAACGAGTTACAAGAGAATAGACATAAAGATGTAAAAATGAAAAAGGACATCAAAATAAAAAAAGGTGGGAATGGGAGAGGGGAGCAAGAAAATATAGATTTCTTTCTTTCTTTTTTTTCTTTGTTATTCTTAGGATGTGTTGGAGCCTAAGTGATTATCAGTCTAAAGGAAATAGATATAGTAATGGTTTGATATATTTGAAGAATAAGGTAACCACAAAGCAAAAGCATACAATAGAATCGCAAAAAACCCAAAAAGAAACAAACTCAAAATGGCTTAAAGGCTTAAATATTAGACAAGACACTATAAACTTCTCACAAGAAAACATAGGTAAAACATTATTTGACATACATCTCAGCAATGTTTTCCGAGGGCAATCTAAGCAACCCAAGCAACAGAAATAAAAGCCAAAATAAATAAATGAGACCTAATTAAACTTATAAACTTTTGCACAGCAATAGAAACCATAAGTAAAACAAAAAGACAACCTACGGAATGGGAGAAAATATTT